GCGGGCCGGCCGGGCCCCCGCAGCCTCCCTCGGCGTCCCGGGCCAGCTGTCGCCTGTCGGCAGAGCTCGCTCGGAGTCGCCTCCCGCCCGCTCCGTCCCTCCCTCCCTCCCTGCGAAGTGTTTCTGATTCCCTCCTGTCTTGACGGTGGTTCGGAGGGATGGGGAGGTGGTTCTGCCCGTGCGGGATGGAGTCTAAGCCTGGTGTGTGGTCCTGCGTCTCTAAGAGACATTTTTATTGCTTTCCGGCTTGATATTAGGATGTGGGACCTTTTCGCTATCTCAGTAATTCCCTTTCAAAACAAGACACAATAAACCTCATGTCACCTAGCTGTATATACGCCTAAAACTTAGGTTGTAATTAGAAGGAAAAAAAAAAAAAGGTTAGAAGTTGAAGATAGATTTCCTTCTAGCCTTGATAGAAAGGTTAAGAGCTACCGTTTCTGGTTTTCGGTGAGAGATGTGCAACCATTTTTAATCGTACTCAGCTAGTTTTTTCTTTTCTTTTTTTATTAACTGTTATCTTAAGTGCATTCTTCTCCCTCTCCGACTTTTTGTTATCCACCTTATCGGTGTCTGGGAGAGTGGTGGATGTTAGAATTTTTTAAAATTGAAATACATCGACGAAGATACCCAAGGTGTTTGACAGTCTCTGTCAGCATTCCAGTTAGAGTTTACAGTTCCTTAGAGTTGGATCTCTGATCCCCCAGAGTGCCTTTTGAAGAGCAAGTAATTGAGGCAGTCCAGATAAAGTAGTGGTGAGATTTGAGCTCTAATCCATTTATCAGAAATAGATGTTTGGAGACATTCTTTGCTGATCCTGGTTCCTCACCTACTTCTTCCTAAGACTAAATTAAAAGACGTAAGCACCAGGCTCATGGGAAGTGCTCAGTAGGTATTAATCACCAGCCTTCACAATTTTATTCACCTTGTTCCCAGGTTTTCATAGGTGAGATTTTTTTCCCCCTCTCTTTCTAAAGGCATCTCACCATCAGGCTACATTTTAACTCTTCTCATTCATACCTAGCTCAAAGATCCACTTTTTTAGGAAGTCGGTTTAGCTTTCTATCCTAAAATTTAAATGCTTTCAACTGTTTTGTGTTAGATTTTCTACTGCGGCTTCAGTACCTAGTGGCCAGGCATATTTACAAGGTGCTTTTTATAGTAACCCTTTATGGATGTTTAATAAGTGGTCATTATTTCTGAGTACTGGTTTATTTTCATAAACACTGTAGGTTTGTGACTAATCTTTAAAACCTTAAAACAATATTATGCACATCTACCCACCCCCAATTTGGTCTTTCTAACAGGTTAAAAAATAACACACCATGTAGTACCTTATAGTCATTCTTCCACTACAATTTAAATTTTGAAGTAGCTTTTCTAGTAGTTGATATGCATGAAATTTCAAATTAGGAAAAGGTTTATTTGACTTCCTCATCCTGCTTGAACTGTTAGTGACTATTATGAGTATTTGGGCTTTCTCTTCCCAGATAGAAAGTCACCCTGAACTTCTGGCTTTGTGTTACGAAGTGAGCATTAAGATGATGAGAAAATGTTGGGAGATCATTTTTGCAAAGGGCACAATTGTCGGCATTCAGAAATGAGCTAGCTGTAGGGGGAAAACTGCAAGCTGGCACACTGGCCTTCTCCTCAACCCTCTGTTAACCCAACAAGCTCCCACAGGTTGTTCTTGAAATTGCCAGATGATTATATAGCAGTATTGAATTTGCAACTGAATCTTGATTTCAAACCATTATTAGCCAATGGGTGGATTCTACACCTATGTTCATGAATTTTTGGTATAAAACATTAATATCTAACTGTACTTGTTTTCGCTTTAAGTCCATCTGTGATCGAGGCCTACTTGGGGAAGAGGTATGAGCAGAGATCAGGGTCACTCGATTCCTACTATTTAATTGGAAATAATTTTCATGGCTGCTGAAGTTACCTGTCCTGTGTTATATTTTGAATGTGAAACTAACCAGAACACAGTGTCATGGCACGTGGAGAATGGGGGTCAACATTAGGGACATCTTTTGCTCTTTTGGTTGAAAGAG